TCTGCTGGTTCTAAGTAACTTGCTGTGACCTTGAAGACTGCTTTACTTTGTCTTAATACTGGAGTCTTGTTTGCTAGGGCTCCTGGCTTGTTATTTCGAGTTTTCTTTTAGCTAAGTTTTGGTACGAGGATCTGCAGGAGAGAGTTGATGTGATTAAAACTGGGGAGATATTGTTTCTATTTTTTACAAAAATCATATACTACAAATATCATATGAAAAATGATCAACATGCTCCTTATTCTTAATTGGTAGAAAAATATTCAAGAAAAATTTCTAGTTTTTGCCAATCTAGCATGCAAATATTTAGCTATACCTTCTATATTAACACCTAGTAAGCACTTGTTCTTAAATACAGGTAATTTAATAACAGAAAAGTATATATCAATTAATATAAGCTTATTTAAAAAAATTCTTTTTCTTAAAAAAAATATCAGTATTTTAGATTTTATATTCGAATCATAATTAAAATAATATCTATTATAAGAAATACTAGATACTATTTTGACTATTTTCTTAAACAATATTATATATATTTTATTTTATTTTATTTTTTTTTAAACAATCTTATATATATATTTTTTTTAATATTTTAGCAGTCTTGTCTACACTTTATTAAGCCTCATAATATTATACTATGAAATATTACAATTTATTAAAAGGCTAATTCTTCTAATACCTAAGTTACAAGTCTCAGCTTACTTGACTCTTTGTAACTAAAGTCCAAATTATTTATATATGACTTGCTATAAGCAAAAATTACTTCTGAAATATTACTTTCTGTAATAAAAGAGATAAAATATCACTAAATAGTTCCTACTAGCTTATTAAGACTATTTATCCTTTTTTAAAACTTTTTTCATCTAGATCTAGGCAGAATAGTTTATCTTTTATTTTTCTATAAGAGAATAAAAACAATCTTATATATATATTTTTTATTTTTCTTAAATATTATATATAGAAAATTTATTAGGTCAAATAAAGAATAAATAAATATATAACAAACTTGTTTTAGTAAATATAGTAACTATATAATAAATTTGTTATTTGAAATATACTGTAATAGTATAAAAAGCTATAATATAATACCTTTAATATCTAAATAACTGCTTAAGTTTAAATATATCAAGTAAAAGCTATGCTAAATAAATTTTTGTAATAATAAATTTTTGAAAAAAATTATCCATATAATTATATTCAAAAGAAAGTAAAAAGGTAAAAAGTTTATTAATAATTAAAAATACTATTTATATAGTAACTTAAGTAATTAACTTGTAATCTAGATATTAGTATTATTATTATTAATTTGAAATCTAACTAGTTGATAATATATTAAATCTGAAGTATTATACAAAATTTGTACACTAAATATATTAGATACAATAGTCTGTAAAATATTAAAACTGGATATAATCCAGATTAGAAACCAGATAACTAACAAATATTTGTTTATATATCCAGATCAAAAAACATAAATTAGGATATTTATCTAAATATTCGGGTTCATATCTGGATTCTTGAATATTCAAATAAATTTATTTATCTAGCAAACTTATATAATTATAAAAAAATTTTTTTTTGTTATTTTTTTTATTTGTTATGATGTAATTATGTTTATTTTAATATTCAAAATTAAAACTCAGTGAGCAACTCCCTACTAATTATGATTATACAGTAAATTATCAGATAACACCAATATTGGGCAAATTGTCGAATATGGTAATTTGACAAATAATTGGCTATACATGCTACAAAGTGGCACATGCTTATTTGCCAAATTACCATTATTTGACAATTTTTGCCTAATATTGTATATATAAATCTGAATTTGAATTAATTTGAATAAGTTCAAATAAATTTAAATATATTCAAATTTGTAAATTTATATGTAATTTCGCATGATTATGCTTAATCATGCATGATTATATATGATCGGGCATGATTATGCTCGATCATGCATGATTATGCATAATTATGTAAGGAGTACATACAAAATATATATGAATTTACAAATTCGAACTTATTTGAATTTATTTGAATATATTTAAATTAATTCAAATTCAGATTATAAAGATTCGAATTTAAAATAAATTCGTTTCCAACCTCTATTTTCAAGCTGGTAATTATATCAAGATTTGACTGTATTTGAATATAAAAAGTATAAATATTGTATATATTACTAATTTTAAAAAAATTTAAACCAGTTTTGAACAGTTTTAAACATGTCCAAAATTGTCTAATAAAAAATTTAATTAGATACTGTATGTCTAATTTTTAACACCGCTATACTATATACATATATATATATATATTAATTATAAATTAGCTAGCACTGTATAAGAAAAAAAAATAAATAAAATAGCCTAAATAGATTTGTATAAAATATACTGTACAAAAGTACTCTAGTAAAAAATCGGCTGTTTATAAATCCCTAACTGTGTAGATTTATATTAATACTGGTTTGGCTCATAGGCTGTTCAATATTTTATTATGTAAATAAATTTCAAAGTATTTTATTTGTGTAAACTTTATGTACATTATATAATACCATTATTAAAAAAGTGCAACTGTATATATTTGTGAAAATTTCTGCTATTCATTAAAATTACACTTCAAATTAACTTATTCAATTTCGGAAATTTTAGCTTCGTCTTCTACAACTTCGGAAATCTTAGGTTCATCTGTAATTTCAGAAATTTTTGGTTCATTGGTAGACTCATTCACAGTCTGCTTTTTAGCTTTTTCTTTTTCATCAAGTTTTTTCATTCGATCAAACATTCCGGCTAATTCTTTACGTTGCTTTTGATCTTGTTCCTTATCCTTTTGTTTGAGACGCTGCCATTCTCGTTTAACTAGTGGGTCTAATTAAGATAATACAGATTAAGTTTATTGATCATCGAAGTAAATTGATCAATAACATTACCATCTGGATTCTTTTCAGTCAATTTTTCCAAATCTTGTCTTGCTCTTGTCGTGTTTCCATCGGAAATATATGCTTGCGCACGACGAAACAAAGCTTTTGTATTATCAGGATCACTTTTCAAGGCCTACAGAAATCATAAATTTTATTTATTTTTCTAACCAACGCATTAGTGAATGAAGTAGTGACATTCAATCATATATACACCTTATCCGCGCACTCGATTGCCCTACTCCACTTTTCTTTTTTAATCAGGCAAGCTATTTTTAGATTGATGGCGAATTAAGCGAGAATTGAGAATTTTTATTGCATTAACAATTACTTATGACAATTATTTAATATTCACACACCGGACATGTTACTATATATCAAGCTTGTAGTTTTCATGATGTCTTCTTGTAAAGGATCAGTTTTAGGCTCCTCTTCTTGTTCTTTGCGAAATATTGCAAAAGATTTGTTATTCTGGAGGCCGTGTAAATGTAACAAAGCCTTGAAGAGAAAGTTTTTTGTCTTTTAGTAAAAAAAAACACGATAAAGTGAATACAACTCTAAAATAAAAATACGTATGATAAAAAATTTTACCTGATGATAATGTCGCAATGCTAAACAAAAGAGATGTGTTATTCAAATATTTTATGATTTTCAACACTTTGTAAAATTGAACAAACCTTCCGATATATTTCCGGCTTTGAAAAATTCATTACCCTTGTCCTTTTCGAGCTTGCTGGCCGCTAGTTTCTCTTCGTTTGCGGCAGAGTTGGCATTTGTATTGGTCGACATTGCTTTAACGTTCAAGTGAAGAGGAAAGTATTTTTTATTGAAAGACTATAAGTAAATTCTACTAATTTTTCCTTTTTTTAATGTTAATAAAAGAGTATGTAGTAGATATAGTAAATATAGTACGTATTAAGCTCGATCGAAAACTTTAAATGGTAATTCTGTAATTATGATAATTTTAGAATTATTAACGCTAAATTCGGTTTATATAAATCTTTTTCCATGACAAGCCAAATAGCTTCACAAGAATCACAAACATCTCTCAAACTTGATCCAGCCACATATGACAGCTTAGAAATCATTCTTACGAATAAAAATGGTCAGATACCATTGTATAAGCGCTTTCGCGCCATGTTTACGTTAAAAAACCTTGCGGACAAAAAAAGCATTGATATACTCGCGAAAGGTATATTTCAATGAAGGGTAAGCTTAGAGTCATAAGTTACTACCAGAAATAAACCACTGAATCATTTCTTGTCGATTAACAGCATTTGACGACGACTCTATACTATTAAAACATGAAGTTGCGTATGTATTGGGCCAAATAAAAAACCCATATGCGAACCCAGCGTTACGTTCTATCTTGGCTAATCGATCCGAAGATCCGATGGTTCGACACGAGGTATGTTCGTTTATTCTAACGTTGTCATTATCGAAAATTTATGTCGTTTACGTTTTCTTTCATTATAAAGGCTGCCGAAGCTCTTGGGGCAATCGGAGATTTATCCTCATTAGATATTCTCGAGGAGTACTTATATGATGAAAACGTTGTCGTCCGAGAGACTTGTGAGTTAGCTATTGCTAAAATAAAATATGAAACCGGGAAAAACGTGCAGGAAAATCTTAAAAGGTTGTCGAGTTTGTTTCTGCTCACTACTCTTGAACCAATTTTTAACATTTAAATTTTGTTTACATGATTTAGCTTATATGCTTCGATTGATCCTGCACCACCGAACGTGAAAGTTCAATCTGTAACAAAATTACGTGATATCCTCCTCGACACGAATTTACCTTTATTCGAACGATATCGCGCTATGTTTGCGTTACGTAATTTAGGCACTACGGAAGCTGTTTTGGCTCTCGCACAAGGTCTCGATGATCCATCTGATTTGTTTCGCCATGAGATCGCTTATGTGTTTGGACAAATTCAAAGCCCTACCAGCGTACCTGCTTTAATCAAAACTTTAGAAAATATGAATGAATTATATATGGTCCGCCATGAAGCTGCCGAGGCATTAGGATCCATTGCGACATCAGATTGTTTACCAGTATTAAAAAAGTTTAAAAACGATCAAGAAAGGGTTGTCAAAGAAAGTTGTGAAGTTGCATTGGATATGTTTGAATATGAGAATTCACAGGAGTTTCAATATGCAAATGGGTTGATTGACCTATCGATTACTGTAGACAATTAAAGATTTTGATTCTCTTCGCAAATTGCTTTGTACAATATAAATTAATACAGTCAGACCTCGTTATAGTCACTCTCAATATAGTCACAGCCTTGTTATATTTATCCAATTTTTTTGGCCTAGCTATTATAAAACATATACAATATATTTTGACCTTTATATAGTCACAACTTTTTATAATCGCCAAAATTTTGTTTCCCAACCTGGTGATTATATCAAGATATGACTATATAACAAAGTTTTACTATATATATAATATATATTATATATATTATCTATTAAACTGTTTTCTAGGCAAATTTGCCTGGAATTTTAAAAAGTATTTACAATTTTTTAAATAAAATTAAAAATTATTAATAATATGGGGTATATTTTATATACATGTATTAGTCACACGATTTGTCATACATATTATATATCAGGCATAAGACATGTCCCCTTACAGGGGTTCAAAATATTGTTAAATATATTTATTCAATAAAGTAAATATAAAAAATAATTTTAGATATAGGACTTATATTCTTTAGCATTTAATAATTCTTTAATAATAGTTATAAATCTAAATACCAAATAGTTTTAAAAGAATCTTGTTTTAAAGTTGATGTATTTTTTGTCTTTACCCTGTAAAATTAAAGCAATAATATAATTGGTTAAAGCAATCTTTTGAAAATTAAAAAAAGTTCTACTAAGTAAAGATCTCTTCTAGCTCTAAGAAAACTTGTAGAGAAGATTTTTAGAATTCTAATAGTAGTTAAATCATTCAAATCAGCTTGATGAATCTCAAGATACTTGGAGTTAAAGGATATACTTGTGATTGGTTAATTTTATTTAATTGAATTTAATAAAGCAGTGATAGTAAATAATAATGATGCAGACATTTAAAATCTTGAGGGTAACTACCCTGGCAAAAAAATTATGGTGATATGGCACATTTGCCGTA